TCTCAAACTGACATTTTGGGGTAGTTTAAGATGAAACATTGCAGCCATACCTGACAGCAATCCTGGCACAATTTTTTCTTTGAATAAAAAACATTCTTCTGGCCATTTTATTGGCAGCAGCTGCATACTGAGGAACAAAGATTAAAAATAAGTTAAAAACCGCCGAAAACTCTGTTCAGCATTCTTTGACATGAGTGTTTGAGCGCTATCTTCACAAATGATTCAGCACAGCACTGAAGTGGTATAGTAATAAGATACAGAAGCTGATGAGAACTTTCCTGTGAAACTTACGTAATGGATCCTTACTTCATTCAGATTTAATAGTTCCCTTGTGCTATCTGGGGTCAGAAATAGATTCATTTTAATGCAGCCGCTGCCACTGACGTGCTGAGCAAGTGTGCCTTTACTTCCACCACAACTCTCAAGTCTGTAAATCAGGGAATAATAGTGTTTATTACTTGCCGTTTTTCATAGAAAAATTGTTGTAGTAAACCAGTAAATGTGAGTTAACATTTTCTGCCTTTATATCATGTTAAATTGCTGCATTGCTGCAGCAATTTTCTGTGTGTAATGATTTTTGCTCCGTTCTGTTCCCTAAATATCACTCTGTATTTACATGCTGTGAGTGGTCATCCAATTTTTAATGCAGTTCACCATATATAATAATTATCATACACAGAAATTTGTCTTCAGTGAGACATGTATTGTTTTGCCATAGCAAGACCTCCACTTGTTTTCATTTTTTGTAAAAGAAGTGTGTCACCAAGGTACAAGGGAAAAGTGCAACTATTGTCTCGTAATTAGAAGAAGTGCTATTCAGCAATTATTTTATCTTTTAAGGATTACAACGTGTCTAGACAACTTAATAGGTGATAAAATGTAGCAAGAAAATAAACTGTAAAGGACCTTAATGTGTATTTCGAATAGCCATAGAAGACCAAATCATGATACAGTTCTTAGTGTAAGTAAGTAAGGTACAGTCAGGTTCATATTCGGAACACTATATTTTGTTATCTATAACTTAATTTTTCAGAGTTCATTTTTACTACAGTATGTCTTTGTTTTTGCAATGGAAAGTAGAGAAAGCTATTTGATATTTGTCATTTTGTCACTGTCTGATCTTGTTATCCCAGGGAGAAAGAAGCTGCAAGAGTTGCAGAGTTCCAGTGGGAAATATAACACACACTATGTGAAAGGACAAAAGAGAAGGTTGAAGGCCTTTTTCTTGATCTTGACCTGGAGTGGTCTTTTGTACAAGAATGTGGGTGAACGTGTTCTCCCCTCATTTCTTTTTTTTTTTTTTTTTTTTTTTTTTTAAAAAGACTGGAAGGGGAGAACATTTGCCTGCTGACCTGAACAAACGTGTAGAAAATGCCTTGCCCTGAGAGGTATTACGGATAAGTTTGGTTTGTGAAATGTCAGTGTGGGTGGATGTGAGATGATTGAAAGGAGGTATGTCATGAATTCTTTATAAAGATAGACTTGCCCCAAACTCCTTAACATTTGTGAGTTGTTCATAAATGGGACGAATAATTATCTTTGGAATTGGGATCTACTATATGTCCTATTATTGTAGCTCTCCAAACTCTCTTCTGAGAGAGAACTGAATGCTTCATTTCTTGTTGGGGGCATTTACTCGTTAATCATTGGCATGCTGTTGAGCTACAGAGTTGTCGTTCTTGCAGATTTCTTGTTGGTGTAGTGGAAAGAAAATATTACTACATTGGTGAATTGAAATTCTAGTTGAAAGCTTATTTTAACAGAAATAAATAGAGCCACAATAAAATACCAGCAGTAGTAAAATGAAGTTTGTATATCTAAGAGTATTGTCAAGAAAACCAAAGGATTTATGTACAAAGAAAAACTTTCCACTAAACAGGTATGAGAATGATTCAAAATATCTGGTCTGTCCTTTCCGGCACGTTGAAAGTTAATAATAGAGTTAAGTTGACTTCTATCTTGTGACATGTGCTCTCCGCTCAGTGAAAGAGTTTTCATCTTCAGTGACCCAGTGGATACGTGTCTTTTTCTGGATTTTTTGCACAGCTCTGACAACCAGTAGGACATGACCATTTATGAAGCATTATGATACATGTGATAATCTGTTCTCACGTGTGATTTACATCTCAGGCTGAGATAATCTTTTGGCCCTCTTTGATGAAACTCACTGGGGAAAGTTTTCCTCATTTTCAGCTGTATTTAAACTGGGAGATAAATATGGAGAAATGGAGTCATCTGGAATGATGACTCTTTAAGCAGCTGTTCACTATTTATGGCTGGACAGGATGGTGCAGCCATTTCTATTTGTTTTCAAAAGTACAGCAATCTCCTGTTCTTCGCGATTGCTAGGCTAACAAAGTAATATGTCCTAGATTGTCGTAATACACACTGTAGATAAAGTCAATTAGAAGCTAAATTGGAGCAAAAACCAAGAGGATCTTTGACTTTCATAGTGAGGTAGCCCCTATGATTCTTTAGAATATGTGAATTCAGACACCTGTGCTAGATTTTTCTGGATGAAGTAGACTAGCTTAGGGCCCTGTGAATGTGATGATAACCAGATAGTGCACTTTTAACTATTTCATGAATACAGAATTAGCCCATTTATGAGTACATCTGTATTGCTGTGGAACAGACTGGCTCATATCTGCATTTTTTTTAGGGGTAGCACCCTCGAGATTAGTAAGGCCGCAGCTGTATTATTTAATGATTGGCCTGTGTGCTGCCTCTGTGGCCCTGAAACATAATTATTATTTTTCAGCTCAAAACCTCTGTGTTGCAGTGCAGCAAAATGGTGGTTTTTACAGTATGAAACGGAGTGTGGTGGAAAGACATGTTGCTGAGTTTAGGGATGGAAAGTCTTCTGGGACAAATGATTTGAGACTGTGAGGTTATAGGCAAGACAGGTCTTTTTTTGTTAGGCCCTAAAATAATCCTAAGAGTCTTGTATTACAACTCTGAGAATTGAAATATTATATAAGGTTCAGGAAAACAAGTGAGTTTTGCACCAATATAATGTCCTAGAGTGAGCTTAAAATGGAAGAATCACTAAGGCATCTGGGAGTGGTATCTGTGATAGTGAGTTACTCTTCAGTTATCATGATGTATTGAATATTTTTGTCAGCTCGGCATCACTATGGAAATATGACTTTCAGAAGGAACCAAAAATACTTGCTCTTTTAGTGAGTAACAATTTGAAACATCGTAACTATATATAGGACAAACAGCTCTTTAAAAAGCTTATACATCACGTAGGAGATGATAGTATATGGCAAAAATCATTGGAGAAGTTGCCAGAAAGCAGATCAGAGTTAACTTAAATTTATTAGCTTTAGTATCAGTTAAGGACCTGAGCTGAATCCATGTTTTTAACTGTTATCAAAATACTTCATTTTAAGAGACAAAATATGCTAATGTAACATGTCTCTCATAGATGAAGAGGCATGATAGAGATCCCCATCAGAGACTTCTGGAGCCATTAGAACAGAGAAAATGTTTTTTTGTGGGTTTTATGTAGGGCTCAGGGTTGAGCTTTTTAGCATTGGTTGGCTAAGCCCTTCACCTTTCAGGTTTCTGTAGAAACCTTTTGTATGATGCTTTAAGTAGAGGCTCTGCCTAGAAAGTAAGAATCCTCTGTTTCTTTGATTACAGGATTCTTCTTTCACCCAAAAGTCAAATCTGATAATACCGAAAAGATCAGAGATACCCTGGGAGGTAAAATGCTGTGCAGCTATCAGCCATCTGTATTAATATCTTTTTGTGACCTTGCTATTTATTTTTATGCTTTGTATAACTAAGCAGTACAAGCATATGATCCCAAAAGCATGTGATCCCAAAAATTCATATGCCCCAGCTGTTGATCAACATGTACATTAACTACTTTGTCATTTCTTTAGGAAAAAAAAAATCTACTTATTTCTTGAAGCTCAGGATGTTTTGCTAATAAATGTTTTCTACAGTGAATTGTCACTTTTGGTTCAGTTCTGATCCGAGACCACTAGGCAAATCCTGCCTTGATTTAGGGAGATAAGATTCCCCATGAAAACTGACATTTGGGCCTGCGTATGCCATCTATCTTCTTTCAAAAGCTTTTGAGTCTGTGTTCTGAAATGTATTTTGTATTGCAGTTTGCCCAGAAGGAAGTAACTATATTAAGCTATACTGAATAAACAGTTCCTCCAGCTAATCTGATTATAAAAAATAATGACCTGTGGTTCTTTGGTCCGAGCCAGATAAGTCTTTCCACCTAAATAAGTTCAGTCAGCTCCAGCTCTACAAAATACTTTGTCTCAAAACGAGTAAATGTTTTTTACAGTTTTTTATTTGTGATATTTCCTCTTGGGATCTCTTCTGCTTGGATGGCCCATTTTTCATGGAAGAGATGAGGAAATTTTTTTTCCCTTTGTTTTGCTAACCTCACTAAAAAGTAAGTTCAATTAGTGTTTTGTTTGTTCTTGCCTCCAAACGGACACTATGAAAGTTCTCACTGTTTAATTTATATAAAAACCTTTAAGTTCTGATTGCTGCTTTACATTTTTCACTTCTCTTTCCAGAAACGTAAAAACAGAGCATCCAGCCTTCTATTGAGACACAATCATGACAGCCACAGAGACAGTGAAAAGTGATTATTTGTGGTTCACTAACTCACTGTACTAGGTTTTGGCTACAGAATTGCTGTGTCTTCTAAAATTTGTTTTGAGAGTTGTTTATATCTCTTACTGAAATAAGTTTTTAGTTATTTATCATATTTATCATCATATCATATATTATAGTTATTTTTCAGCTAATAAACGCTTTATTTTCCTGTTAGTCGCTAAAGGACTGTGAAATGATACTTGATTTTTCTGTGGCAGCTCCTGTGTGTATTTGAGTGGTGGATAAATGGCACATTTGTGTTAACTGGACTGGGATTTTAAAATAATATTACACTATTAGATGTCCTTTAAAGTAATCCTCAGCTTCCCATTAACTTTTTTTTGTTGTTTCAGAAAAATCCAGTTTGGTCACACAAGTGATTTACATTTTTCTGCTTGGGAAGTCTTTAATGACTAAGATGAATGCCAGTAGTGGGTGTTGTACTTGGAGTTGGGAACCCTTCGGTACTACTGAAAGGTAAGCCTTAAAGCAAGGAAAAAATCTTTTTTTTTTTAGTGTTGCAATTGTAGCGTCAGTGAAGCTGCCTCAAAACAGCCATGTTTCTGGATACAATTACATGTCAGTTATTCCATAAAATTCAGTAAGAGGCAATGAACAATGAAATCTTAGGTTAGTAACAGTTGGAGGGGCGGGGGGGAATCATTAAAATCAGTCTACTGGAAAGACAGATTCAAAACTAAAACACTTGACATCAGACAACTCAGAATGTAAACCAGGTGAGCCCTCTGGAGCAAATCCAGAACTACCTGGAAACTGTTCAGTTAATAGTAAATAGTGTAATTACATAAGTCATGATGCTTTACAAATATTTAAAATCACATGGACAACTGAGGTCCCTATTGCTGGAACCATTCCATATTCTATGGAATTATCATTCATGAGTCCACAGAATAGCTCTGTTTACAATGAAAACACTAAGTATTTGAGAGATTACTCACTTACCATGTATATTAGGAAAAAAACCAAATTAATATAATTTTTTTCTTGAATGGCTTTTGGTTTTTTTTCTGGTGTTCTTTTCTTGTTTTAGAAAAATCCTGAGAGTCAAAAAATGTTACAGTCATATATCAAAACACTTAATAAAACACTTCCAAAAAATCAACATTTTCAAATATTAATTACTTGGTCAGTCTTGTGTATGACTGTGCATGCTTCTCAGCTCAAGGATGAGTATGAATTTTTCAGACTTTGCCTGTTAGCTCATCCTCATTTAAAGATAAGATTGTATCTTCTATTTAGAAGATGAAATGACCAAGACAGTGTCAGAGAAAGGCACAAATTAATTTGGATGAGGGTTCAATAGCACATTGTGAGATAGGATAAAGGCGTATCCAGCACTGTTTTGAATTATACTAGTTAATTTTATGCTGTCTTCAAAATAATTTTCAACCTTCTAATTTGGGGCTTCTATTGCCATATGAATGTACTTCCTTCATTTTAGAGGCATCCGAATAAGATTTTTACCTTCATGTGTCATGTGCCAGATTTCTCTTACGTTCTTTGGTAGAGCTTTCTCTTATTCTTTGTTTATATTTAGTGCTGTGCAGGTAGAAGAATGTCGGAGGGAAAGCCTGAAATGCCACAGTCCCAGAAAGATAAATTAACTCTTTCTTACATGCAGTGTTTTCTTGAAACCTGAGGACCTACATAGGGGAGGCATGGCCTGGCTTGTTTATTTAAAAAAAACAAACAACAAAAAAGTATGCTCCACAAGAAAGCGCTGGGTAAACAGTTCTGTTTATGGTTCTGATAGCTCCTCAGCTGGCATAGTAGTCATTTTCCTTAAAACTAAGTTTCCTTTGGTTAAGTCCCATTTGGCATGTTTTAGATGAATCCATGAAAGTAAGCTTAGTGTTCAGAAAAAAAAAAACTTAACCAACTACTATTATTCTCTATTTACACCAGTCTGAATTTAGATAATTTTTCGGCTTTATGTGTTGTTCCAATTCAACCCTAGCAGAAGTTTTCCCTGTGTAGATCTTAAGAATTTGGTTGAAAGTTATAGATAAAAGGGAAACATCTCAATAAATTATTTTTTCTATTTGACCTTCAGGATACAGATTACAGTGCCTGGAAAAGGTGGCAAGCTTTGAAATAGCGTTTGCCATCTCTAAAAAGGTAAGTGAACTATAATTGAATTATGAGTAGTTCTTTGCAGAGTTGTAGTACGTTATATTAGAGTCAGACAATTACAATCTTTCCAGACATGTCATCTCAAACTTTTAAGCCTGCGAGCAAGGGCTTTGCAAACAAGAAATCTTAGATCTTGAAGAAAAATTTTTATTACTATTCTCCCCATGTAGAGTGAGATTTCAGGATGTTTCCTGCATCTTTTATGACACAGATCAACTTTCTGCATTCATTAGAGACAGTTGATTGGATATGACTTGAATATGTTTCCACTAAAAATGGCATATATTGTTCATCTAAGGATAACATGATCCAAAGCTTTTAATTGAGTTGGCTTTGCCATGTTCACATTTTTGCTTTTGCTGGAGAGTTTCTTACAAGTATTGAGTTTTTTCAAAGTCATAATTTGTTTTTCACTTATTACTGCCTATGCTATCTACTGACTTGATAACTATTGAGGTGATTCATAATATTATTTCATTTGTAACTGATTGCCCCTTGGAATTTGCTGCTGAGCAATTCATAGAAAGAATAATTTTGCCAACGTGACCTTAATAGAACTGTCCACCGGGGTAAGGAGTACTTGCCTGAAAGCAGTTACAGAACAAATTCTTTTTAGATGACAGTTTCTGTTAACTATATCTCATTTGAATTTGCTTAAAAAAAAAAAAGGGGGGGGGATGGGGATATGTTTTCAAAGCATTTTTGAAAATTTAGTATAAACGTCTTTATTAGCAGTATCTTTGGTTTATATTATTTTTTTTCAAAATGGATACAGATAGGAAAGAAGCACTGTAGTTATGCAACACATTACTCTTTCAAGTGTTTCTAATTCCAAACCGTATGGGAAAGCTGAAAACTTAATATCTGCTGAGCATTAGAAGAATTATTTTGCAAACCTATAAGTAAGTGTTGCATTTGAATGGCCAGTGGCACGTTTGATGATATAAATAGAACAATAATAAAAGTTTAAATGAAAAACGTCATAAATAAAATGCACAATAGCTTCAATTAATACTATCTCAGACAAACAGTGTATTATTTAAAAATTGTATAGCCACCTGGGTCATAATGAGCCATTCTTTTAATCAGATTAATGAGTCTACAATTCAGCACTGTTCATGACTCAGAATAAAGTCCTTCCCTACAGCACAGCTTCATAACAGCCCTTCATGTATCATTCATTAAACACAGACTAGTGGTACTACATAAGACATAAGGACATACAGGACAAGTGCTTTTGATAACTTCAGCCACAGACACCTTTGGAAAGCTATTTAGAACACTTGTTATAATAAATTATCTCTGTATATTCACCCATTCTGTGAAAATGTTCAAGAATTGAATGGGGAATTCTACAAACATTAGTCTTGTCACACAATGAAATTCTCTTTTGAAACCTGAGAAATAATTTTGAAAAGATTATTGTACAACTATTTTTTTAAAACAAGTTTGAATATTGACAAAAATGAGCAAAACTATCAGACATCTGAGATGGGATCTACCCCAAGAAGACACAATCTTCTGAAACCTGAGCTGAAGCAAACATTAATAGCGATAGCATCATCAATAAGAAGAAAACCTCTCCTGGAAGAGTAATTATATTTCCAGAAAGAAGTAGATGATCTGTTTTGGATTCCAGATGTAGTTAATTCTCTTCTGCCAGTCAGTACTCTCTCCTGCTTTTGATAAGAATTTAATTACTAAAATAATCATATTGATTCCTAGCATATGGATACAGTTCTACAAATAGGGCTTCCTTCTCCAATGAGAATGAATAACATGTAGCAGGCATTTATTCCTAATACCAGGTAACAACCTTTCTTTTCAGCGTGACACTCAAGCATGGCACTCAGAACAGAAGCAAAGTGAGTTCGGTTAGTAATTGATGAATTATTACCCTATGAATAATAATACATTAACCTCAGACATTACTAGTGATTGAAATACAATGACTTTCAGCTTTCCAGTACTACAAAAATTCTAATTGGAAAATACTTTGAACTCTTTTTTTTTTTTTTCCAAATGTATATCTCTTGTGTTTCTGATCACTGTCTAATTTTGAAATATGTAATTGTTTATGAGGAGAGGAAGAATAATTAAAAAAAAAACAAACCTCAAGCTACTAAGATTATTCATGCCTTTATAAGAGCTGAATTTTAGATTTGTTCCAGTTTTGATCAAATGCTATTTTTTTAACCCACAAAACAGTGCAGGTTAGTAATTGCTAATCTATATCCCCTCAAAGAAACATCTTCATTTCTAAACAAACACAAGTTCTATTTGACGTGTTTCCTTTCTGTTGTAAGCAGACACAATTATAGTAGGGCATGCTCCTAGGAGAAAGTGGAAGAGCTGAGTACCTGTCTTTCAGTTGAAAAGAGGTGTCAGAGCTACCATCAGAGATCCCAGAATCAAACTCTTTCTTGTTAGCACTGCTCTGATAGACATAGGCTTGTGATGGAATTTAAATACCAAATATTTAATATAAAATTCTTCTGGATCAAAAAGTGCCAATGAGCTTTGAATCTGAGTCCATATTTAAATCATTCTGAAAGAAATCATTTCATAAGCATCAATATCACGTATATGGTTTATGTACCCCCTCATTATTTTACTTGTCAACTTAAATATCTGTTTCTCTTCAAAGTTAGCAAGACAGCATCCTGCAACGTCTTTGAAAATATCACTATGTTTACAGGTACTCCAACAAACTAGATTTGACATCATTTCTGATACTTGTTGTATCTCCTACAAGACAGTATTCATGGGAATGGTAAAGCAGCATTTACAACTTTGCGACATTATTCCCAAACGTACTTCCTGACTCATGTTCCATTTGAACGAATTTTCAGCGCTCAGGAAAATTACAGAGTGTATTGTTGTAAAGGACTCTGCTCGCAGTATCAGTGTACATCCAAACAGGCTTCTGTTTCTTAGAGAGTATTACAGAAATAAAAGGCATTTTCTATATAGAAAGATTAAACAGCATTATATACATGAAATTTATATGGATCTGTAACATGCCATGGTCTTCAAAAATAGTCAGTTATGAAAAACTATTTTAATTAAACTTTATTGTATAAAGACTGTGGCACAATTTTAAGAGGAAAAGAAGAGCAGATTTTTAGGGTGTTATAAAATACATGCTCTGCTTCATCGTCTTCTGCAAGCATGAAAAGTTGTGCTATGATTTTTTTAATATCATTTTAATAATATTAAAATGGTGTTTTTAATTATTTTACTAGTGAAATTTGGAGCAGTAAATTTTTGGAAGTGTCAAGTAACACTTACTAATTTTGAAAAAAATATTCCTAAAATGGGAATGCAATATTCTTCACAGTGACATCCACTCTAGACTGCCATTTTGTTGGTGTTTTTTGTGTTGTTTTGGCTGGTATATCTATCAAGAATATCTATTCCAGATAAAAGTATATCTATTCAAGGTTGTATTTTTCATCTGGAACCTAAGTTAACCATTTGTAAAACGCAGTGATGCATTACGGTGATGGTTATTCAAACAAAATAAGACTGAATGCTGTATGCGTATACTATTAACTACTTTTTGTTTTCCTAAGACGACTATCTCTCTCTCTTAATGTAGGAATGCTGTTAAGTAGTTGTGCCCTGCTTACATCAACTGTACGTAGGACAACTGTGCTTTAGACGTAGAGAAATAAATACGGCAGATCAGATGCTCAGCCTGTGTGACATGGCAGTGTCCTATTGAAATCAGCAGTGCTGTACCCTGACTTGCAGTTAACTGCAGATTTGATGAAATGTCTTCAGCAGGTGACTTTTATAAACTGTTACAGGAGGCCAGCAGCTTGACGCTCGCTTTAGTAAGTCTTACAGAACAGATTGGACTAAGTACAGCTAAGCAATATCTACTTCTATGTGTACCTACTTACATTAGGGAAAAGTAAAAGAGTAATAATAACTGTTCTTACATCTTGTCATCCTATTCATTTTTATTGTAAACAATAAACTGAAACTTGAAACAAAGGATTATACTATATTTTCACAGGTCAAGTTTATATTGATGTAATGGAAACAATGGTGGTTTCATTCATTGACAGAATATAGGATAGTCCCCCTACGTTATAGGTAAATAGATTCTTCTGTATTTTTATTCTGAATATCTTTACTCTGGATTAGTATGTTTTCTGCCCTGTGTTAGAAGGGATTACCTCTCTTCTATCTCACAGGCATTAATTAGTCTATCAACATCACTTTCAGGAAGGTAAGAATTAACTTTCTTATCCCAAATTTTAATTGTAAATTGTAACAATTATAGGCAAAAAAATGACATGACAGCTAAACAGGAAAAGATATACAACTCAGAGAAAACAGTATTTTGAAAGGAGAAATGACTTTGCTTATGTGATGAAAATAAATCAGTCAGTCATTCTGTATTTAATGTAGGAATTTCTGAGAACTTACTTATCTCCCTTTTTCTATGGCAAAAAACAGTGCTCTGAAATTTCATTCTATTTTTATTCTTTACCCTCCTAAGTGAAAAAAAGTAAGTGAGCATAAACTGCTGTCTCACATAGTGTCTTGGTATGTTGTGGTTGTGCTGTGGTGGGTTCTTTTTTTTCCTGAAAATAATATTGTATTTTATTATTCATAATCTTCTCTGAATGGAACTCTGTCCTAATTCAAGTACCACTAAAATAAAGGTTAGTTTCTCTGAGTGTACATAACTTCAGTGGAAAAAGCTTTTATAAATTACCTTATTGTTTCACAGGCCTTGGAGAGTGCTGTTGTGGATGGCAATGAGCGTGACTCATCTGGCTCTAGAGCTGGAAATGTAATATTAAAGAAAATAAATAACAAGACTGAAAAGAGCATTAAATGAGGAAATGAGGCATGAATGCATGAGACAGAGGTTAGTCTGTCTGCATGTAAGCAGATACCACCTAATTACTGGGGAAGCAGAACTTAGTGAAAACTGCAAGAACATGAATGAGCTAGAACACTGTAGGCTATGGCTGGCTTATCAAATCTAGCAAGTTCACTTAGATTTAATTTCCACCAGCAGGTTGCTATTTTATTGCCATTCTGTAGCATACAGTTAGAACATCTGACTCTTTGAAAGAAATGTATTATGATTGGTAATGTACGGTATGGTTTACATATTTGATGGGGTTTTGTGTGTGTGTGTGTGTGTACGCATAAGTGGCTTACCGCATTCAGATTTCCAAACTTAAGTTTTGTTTTGTTTTTTAAAAAAAAACTTCTAACAGGCAAGGGCTGGAAATTATAACAGTTTGTTGCATGAAGAACTGAAGTGAAAGCTAGCTATGCAAACAAGACAGTGCCCACTGGACCTCACTTAGCGGAAGCTGGATAGCCTTCCTTACCCACCAAGAGTATCACTATCCTCACTTTTACCCTGTGTGCATTACTGCTGGGGACCCCAAATATTTCCTTGCTCACCACTTACTACATATAATTTTTCTAGAACTTTTATTTGGTTATGTAAGGCAAAAATAGCTTCTTCCTAATCTTAAAGGCAGCTGAGAGTGAATTCAGTGTCCAGATTTGCTTTTTTTAGTATCACTTGACAAATGACTGTACCCTTGACTGATGCAGGACTACTTTGCCTTTCCTATATCAATCACTCACATGTCTTTATTTTGTTAGGTTAAAAAAAAAACCCAATCTTCCCCTAACTGTATGCAAAAATTGTTTAGCCAGGATGATTGTGTTAAGCTATACCTGCAGTAACTGTATTATATTATACCTGTAGGAAATGAGTGATTAGGATATTTGGGCATGCTCTTGATCTATAAAGGTGTGCTAAGATTCATAAAAGCTTTGGCATTGCCAGATCTCTGAGAGGTAAAATAAGTAAGACACAGACAGTAACATCTGGCTTCCAAAATTCAAGGCTTACATATCCAAGACAGCAAAGGATGTAGAATGAAATTGTCCAGTAATTTTCATATGAAACCTTGTTAACAACTTGTGTCAACAAAATACACAAAGCTTAATAGGAGTGCGCTCATTAACAGTTTGCTCTTTGCGCAAATAGTTTTTACTAGTAGAGAAAAATGGTATTTTGCAGTTTATTTTATGGGACTGTGATAAGGACACTTCCATATGCACCTCTTGGGAAAACTAAGCATAGAAACTGCAAGCCAAGCCCATTGAGTGTACCTATTAATATATTAATTATATATTAATACATTTATATTCTATTTATTTTTATCAAAACAGAATATAGAGAGAGAACTCCCCCCCCCCCAAGTTAGATTTTGAAGGAAGGGAGAATGATACAATTCTTAGGGTTAGCCATCTAAATACTATGTCTCAGGTTTTAGGACAGCTTTCATGGCAAGGCAGAGGCTGTTGGGCCATTCCATAGATGGAGAATAACTAGAAGCTGCAAGTCTCTAGCCCTGCTCTCTTTTTTTTCTAACGCTCACACCCACACTAGTCATCTGCCAAATATCCAGACATATACATAAGGTCATATAACAAATCTGCTTACTCGGACATGTGCCAAAGCCATGAGTGATACTGGTAATGTGGTGGCGTGAGGAGAGATTAGTGCAGCTAGATCATGCACAAATCTATAAACCCGTCTGTTTAGCGCCACACTCGTGGAAGGCACAACTGCCATTGATGATACTGTAACACGAAGGCCTTTGTAATAACTGGAAGGAGAGGAATGTGTCTTTTCTTAATCTTGAGTAGGCTTCTTTTCCCATCTAATTTTTTTCAAGATGAGCTGTTTGGGACTTAATGCACTTTCCAAAGCTCCTTCATATCAGCTATGGGCGTATTACTAAATCATCTGGACCACTGACAGATAAAAAGAAAGGCTAAGATCTGGTAGTATTTGTACTTGTGTTATACAAGAAGGTTCAGTTCTTGTATAAATGAAATAATATAAATAAATAAAGTAAGTAAAATAATCTAGTGTTTTGATTCAAACCCTTTTAAATGAAATGTGCCATTTGAAAACTAAAGAAAGAACTGAATAACTCAGATTCCTTAATGTTTGGTCCAGACTGTAACCTGGAAACTAAATTTAGAGAAGCCAAAGGAAAAGAAATTTTTTACTAAAATTTTAATAGTGGTTTAGAAAACAACCTTGGTTGTAAAGCAACGTGACATACTTATAGTTTAGAGTTGAGTATTCCCATAAAAAGTACTGTTAGAGGGAAAGTGGATGAGCTTAGTCGGGGGGGGTTGGACAGAGCAAGACCGTAGTGGCTGCCCTCTTCTTCCACC